AATGCACCTTAAAAATCTAGATTTAAACAAAAAAATTTACGAATTTAAAGCCTAAGATCTTATTTTATGCTACTCAAAGCATTCTCATATTTTAGAATGCTCTTTACCTTACCAAGACCTTCCTCTCCACAAAAATGAGTTTCAAACGTGTGTGATGGTGGTTGATGATTCTAGAATGGGTTTCAATGGTGAGAAATTATGGTTCAATGAGGGGTTATTGATGTAGGTTTATCCGAATAGGTATTTAATCATAGTTTGGGGATAGGTATTTTAGCTGCAAGTTAGGGGCTGTGAATGGTGTTTTGGGGTAATGATGGTTAAAGCTATTGGGGTTGAGATATAAAGGTGGCAGTGGATCTCAGGTCTGGTTGATGGTGGAGAGATTTAGTTTTGGGCTGTTGGCAATTGGGGATTACAATCGATGGTTTTTGTGATGCCAAAAGGGAATAGGTCTGGTTTTCTTAGTAGTGGTGAGCTAGGCTCATGATGGCAGTAGGAGATGGATGGTGATGGTGTTTGTAGGTTGATGAAGGTAGGGATTTTTGGTCCAAGTCCCCTCTCTAAAGAAATTAGCCTCTCCTTTATGTAGTCTATGGGTAAAAGAAAAAAAAAGAATCCTTAGACATAATCTTAAAATCATGGCATAAAATTAAGGGAAGCATATGAGAGCAGATGAAACATTTGGGAAAGGAAAAAAATGAAGAGGTTGGTCAACCAACCTTGTCCTCTTTTTAACTTTCTCTATTTTTTCTTTTTTGACTTTCTTGTTTTTTAAATTAATAAAATAATATTCATAATTATTATATTCAATAAACAATAAACATGATCAATAAATCCAAATTGGACATAAATGAAACTCAAGATCTATTTTGATCAACTTGGACAAAATTAGGTATCTACCATGAAATGTTACTATCTCAAAAAAATTTCATAATCCTACAATTCTAGTTGTTGGTGATTATAAATTTATTACAATTAATTTGAGAAGAAAAAGAAGAAGAAGAAAAAAATAATGATAATGATAATAAAACACATGAGTTAGCTTATTTTAGTAACGATTGATGTATTTAGCATGACTTTTAATGCTATATATAATGTTTATTTGATGTAGTCAATACATGTCACATTAAATACAATACTTTGGCCTATTCTAATTATAATGTTTTATATGCTTATTTTTATTTAATTTGCTCATTTCATCTAATGTTGTAATACTAAAGTAATATTATATATATTTGTTTTTTCTTTGTGCTTTAGGAATACTTATAGAATATTTTTATTCTTATAACAGTTATAATGGGACATCGTGCAAAGAGTTTTGTTCATCGAGATAGATATATAATAGGATTGATGAAAGGTGATACACATATCAAGTCATTTTCAGCACCAATAATAAATGATCCACCGTACGGGTCGTTTTCAACACTAATGACAAATGATCCATCGATGAACAACCACGTAAATAAAAAAAATAAGGGAACACAACAAGGCAAAGGACTAGGAGGCAAACAAAAACTTATTGACTTCTATAGATTTAGACAAGCGCGTATGGCTTACTCCATTAGGGGATAGGTAATGACATAATTTTACTATTAATTTTTTCTTATTGTTATTTGTTTTTTAAATGATTCATGCAGTTTAACTAATCTTACTAACCAATGGATGTTGGTAGTTGTTTTAAGCAATCATTAATTAGCCCAACAATTTTAGGCATAATTCAAGAAAATTTTATTGGTCCTTGGCCAACAAGGGGTAAAGTTCCTACATTAGTGAAGAATTTGATGTTTGATAAATTTAAGGTAGTAATTGGATAATTATTTTTTATATAAATTTATTTTATTTGAATGAAAAGTTCATAATCATGTCAACAACTTATTGTATCCCTATCTATTATGTTAGGAAAATGTTAATAGGTTGAGTCAGATGATGCTTTTGCTCAACTAGTGTAGAACAATATTTCCAAGAACCGATTGAAAATTTTGATATCAGACGAGAGGGAATTGGTGATGAAAGAGTATGGAGTTGATAACATTATATACTACAAAAGGGATGGAGCGAAGGTGGATTATAACTCCGATTTGGGATGCTCTTTGAAAATGTATAGAGCACTCTGAAATGGCAAACATCTCCGCCAAAGCTAAACAAAATTGTTAGATACAAAAAGAAGGAAGTATTACCAAGCGTACTGACAGTTCAATTACATTTCCTGTTCATAAAAAAATAACGGTATGTCTTTTCACAAGTTATTTTTATCATCACATTTCAATTTTATACAAATTACATTGTTACATATTTCATTAAATATGTCTCAAAATGAATGTAGTCACTTGAGATACAACGAGAACCCACATTTACAGAAGTTTTCAATCACACGCATAGACATTTAGGGGGACGTGGTGATTTCATTGATAATAAGTTTAAAGTTGTCAATGTATATGCCTTTCCAATGATTTTATAAATTCTTTGAAATTGTTGCCTTCCTTTATTGAAATAGATAATATCTTGTGTGTTTTGAGATACAAAGACTTTGTAAAAGATGAAAATTATTGTGTATTATGCTTGTTGATGAATTATTTTTATTGTTACGTATTTAGTCTTTGTGATTCTGGTTGTATATTGTGATTGTTGATGAACTACTTTTATTGTTACATATTTAGTCTTTGTGATTTTGGTTGTATACTGTGATTATTGATAAACTACTTTTATAGTAATTGAAAACCTAAAATTGTGTGTATTACGATACAATGATTTTGTGAAAGGTAAAGACCATTGCGTATTTTGTTATGTTATTCTGGTTGTGTATTGTGATTGTTGATGAACTATCTTTATAGTAATTCAAAGCCTAAAAAATTGTTAAAAATTTAGTATTGAACTAGTAGTGTTTTATGTATATTAAGATGCATTGACTTTGTGAGAGGCAAAAATTATTGTGCATGTTGCTTTGTGATTCTAGTTGTGTATTATGATTATTGATAAGCTACTTTTATAGCAATTGAAAGCCTAAAATTTGTAAGAAATTCTTTATTGAACTAGATAGTATATTTTATGTATTGCAATACAATGACTTTATGAAAGATGTTGTGTATTGTGATTATTGATGAACTATCTTTATAGCAATTCAAAACCTAAAAATTATGGGAAATTCAATATTGAACTAGCTAGTATTTGTACGTGAGACACAATAATTTTGTGAAAGGTGAAAACTATTGTGTATTTAGTAAATTAGAATGAAAATTATTTTAAACTTTTTGTAGGATAGCTATGCTACTGCATTATCTCGGAAACATAGTGAAGACTCTTCCAATCATCCAGATTTTGATTCATGGGCATAGACTGAAACTATTAGAGGGGTTGAAGCTATGCACACTCATTTATATGGCTTTGGATTTGTAGATGATCTAAGGAGCTACTTTACTTAAATCAGTCCAATGCTACAGTAACAACATCTCACTCAATTTATGAACCATCATTTGTGCCTTTTCAACCTCATATACAAAAACAAATTGACGAGTTAAAGATTAAGCTAAGGGCTAAGCTTAGGTTTTTAATGGATTAGATGATACAATTGATAAGGTCTAAATAATTTTCATAAAGACAATCTTCTAAACCTGATGACAACAACGTAGATTCTAAATCATGAGATGCAATAGCATAATGACATGCTTTTCAGGAATTGTATTATGGATTTTATGGATTTTAGTACTATATTTTATGAATTTTAACTTTATAATTTGGATTATTTTAAAGTTTATGTGGACATAAATTTTATGATGTGGATTTGATATTTTAATTAATAATAGATCGACAATAGACTTTTAAATAATTACAAATGTTTTATTTTTAATTTAAAGGTTTCTTAAATAATTATAAATAGAATTAATCAAATTATTGATGAAATTTGGATTATACTGATGGATTTCACCAACAAAATTCTAGCTTTTAGTGGCGAAAATCACAAATTGCTGACGGAATACCAACAGAATACAGACAGAATATTGACAGAACATTGATAGAATACCAACATTTTTATCGACGAAAATAAACCTTTAATGATTAATTATCAACCAATTACCGATAGATTAATGATGAAATAGCGACAAGTTACCAATGAAACATTTATCGATTGAATATTTACTAATGAAATTTTGTATCGATAATTACTAATAAAATTTTAAATTTATCGACAGAATTCTATTATTGACATATACTTACTATTGATGAAAATTCACATTGGTAAATTCCGTCGATAAATATATTATTTACGAAATTTAAACTATTACGACAAAAAAATTCCATCAACAAAACCCATTTTTTAGTAGTGTTAGGTGCTTACATATAGACTTCACAATTTAAAATATAATACAGTCACATGATACGATCATAATACAAAAAAAAAAGATATAAAAGTAATACAATTTAAAATTTTAATAATAATTATATATAAGTTTAACAAAACTAAAAATATATATTTCATATTTTCATTTCAACATGAATTATGACATGAAATTTTGTGCAAAACACAATATTAATACCTGAATTTTTGTATGTTACACAATATTGATACATGAATTAAAAGAATTACTTATGTGACAATTTTTAAATTTTATCAAGCAATCATGTATTTTTTAATATAATACATAAAATATATATCAACTATTAGTTTATATTTACAACATGCAATTATTTAAATTTTATTATTTAAAATTTTAATTTATATTATTTTAATATAAAAAATGTGTCATTACTTATAAATAAAATTTTTAAAATTTTAAACAACTTAAAAAATATATATATGAAGAAACTTTTCAAATATTTAATTGCAAAAGTATTATTTAATATATAAATAATTTTAATGACTTTCAATTTATTAATAAAAATATTATTTGATATAAAAATATATGAATATTTTTTTAATTATTTATTAACTATACAATTTTTTACTACAAATGTTAATTTAATGGTATTTTCACTTTTTCTTTCATTTTATATCATAACAACAACTATTGGTTTTTCCATTCACATAGTACATGTATATCACTTGTGATTTTAATTCTGGCCGCCGCATTGTTTTCGATCTTATTGTCCATCCACGAGTAAAGTGATAAATTTGTAATTATTTTTATAAAAAAAAATTAGTGTAATTATTTGCGGCAAGTTCCATTCCAGATGAATCATTCAGATGCAAGAGCACGGGGGCAGGAAGAAGAAGAGGTTAAAAGGTTCCTAAAATTGGCGGCAGGGCTTGGCGTTTCAGATTCTGAAAATCCCGAGTCATCTTGTTCCAGTCTGGGCCATTCTCTCGCCGTCTCTTACTTCCCTGACTCTGGCGGAAGAGGTCTGGCTGCTCTGCGTCCTATTTCTAAGGGAGAATTGCTTCTTAGAGTTCCAAAATCTGCCCTAATCACCACTCACTCTCTTTCCAAAGATGAAACATTGTCTCTTGCACTCAAAGCCCATCCTTCTCTTTCCCCTGCCCAGGTTTATTTATTTATTTATTTATTTATTTATTTGCAATTCAACTAAACAAGTGCTTATTTTGTTTTCATTTCAACGCAGTTATTTACTGTCTGTTTGTTATATGAAATGAGTAAAGGAAAGGCTTCACCCTGGCATCCTTACTTGCTGCTCTTGCCTCGAAGTTATACTACACTCGCCGCTTTCGGTGAATTTGAGACGCAAGCCTTGCAAGTTCTGTCTCCGATTTTACTTGTTTTGCTTTGCTTTCTTACATCAGCTGTATTGTATGTTTTTCTTACATTGCAATGCATATTAGGTGGATTACGCTGTCTGGGCTGCACATAAAGCTGTCTCTAAAGCTGAATATGAGTGGAAACAAGCCTCTACTCTGATGAAGGAACTAAAGCTTAAGCATCCACTTCTCACTTTCAGGGGTTGGATTTGGGCTACTGGAACTGTGAGAATGTTTTTGGCCTTCTCTTCTTTTCATCTTTATTTATATTGGACAACCTCAGCTTTAACTTTTTTATGCACATTTACACGCATGCATACAAGCACATGCCTGAGTATACAAGGATTCTATGTTATCTTATCATGTCTTTACATAACATTTTGATACATACATTCGTGTTCTCTCCTGCTAACCACTTTGTATATTGATGGAGGGTATTACAGTCTTACATCCCATCAGTTCTATTTCTCTTTGGCCTTTTTTTCTTTATACACAAATAATAACAAGTTTTTACATCTGTTTATGTTGAAGATCTCCTCTAGGACATTACATATACCTTGGGACGAAGCTGGCTGCTTATGTCCTGTGGGAGACTTATTTAATTATGCCGCACCTGGTGAAGATGTGAATGGTTATGAAAATGTAGATAATTTGCAAAATGACTATGCCAAAGATGACTTAGATACAAATCATTTTCAGAGATTAACTGATGCTGCATATGAGGCAGATGCAGCTGCTTATTGCTTCTATGCTAAACAAAACTATAAAATGGGGGAGCAGGTACTTGAAATTCTTTCATATTACTCACGAACAATTAAATTATCACTTCTCCAATCAATTGCATTATTGTTCATCTTTAGCTTCATTATTCTTTTTCTGTCATAGTCTTTATCCTGGGGAAAATATTCTGAGGCATCTTTTTATAATTCTTTTTTTCAGTAAATCATTGTTTCGATGCCTAACAAAATGGCATAGGCATGAATGAGCTAACACTGATATAAGAAATTTAGAATGATGGTTTGTTCCATCTGAAATCCTATTCTGCTTGCAGAAATTCCACTAGCATGTGCCAAATGCCAGATGTCAAAAATGCTTTTATCCTGCAGTCCTCAACTTCCGTACTAAGCTGCAATTCGCATTAGTAATGATTTGCCATGAAGTAACTTTCCAATCCGTTTGAACCTGGGGGAAAACTGTATTACTTTTTGCAGACCATATCTGTTACACTTGTTGCAGCCAAAGCTAAACATCTCACCTTTCTATGCTGCCATTGTTGTTGCAAAATTTGGTCATCTATTGAATTTAGTCACTGGTTGAATTTAAAAGAAAACCATGCCTACTGGTTGAATCCCACACCAATTCTGACCACAACACGTATGATGTCAGTCTTTGAAAATCTGCACGCACTTAGAATTGACAAGATTCCTTCCTAGTTGGCATCTGAACTGTCTCATTTTATCATCATAGATAGCTTAATTTATTCAATTAATTGGCTAACGGGTTGAAAATGCAAGTCATTCACCGTGGGTAATCTCCATCTCCCATTACTCTAGAATCACAAACTTTGGCATGTAGAGAGATCAGTTTCATCATATAATCAACCCCAAGCAACCAATCATGCAAGTAAATTTTTCTGGTTTACTAAGAAAATGCTTGATCAACTTCTCTTTATTAATCCTCAACTCCAATAATTTACCAAATCCAGCTTCAATCCTATAGAAATGTGAACCCCGAATCTTCTTATTCTTTGAAAATCCAAATGCTTTTCTTCTTAAGCTTTGTGTTAAGCATCTATTGCACCCTAAGTTTTGCCTTGATGTGCTAGTATGTTTTACATGCTAGCCTTATTTCATATTTGTACGCATTCAAACTGCTACTCATCCTAGTTTTATTGCAACAGGACACTCTAGGCTACATAACCTACTTCTTTTGTTGAGTCTGGACCTTCCCGGAGAAACTTTCTACAGCTCTACTCCTCAAATAGTAGCTATGGAGATAATAAACACTGCTCAAATATATGTGCATGCTTGCTGAAACTGATTGCTCATCCTGCACTTTCCTAGCATCAAACAAGAATTTAGCTATTCAATATTCAGTTCTTTACCAAAATGTGGCAGTTTTTGGAAAACTTGCTTGAAGCAAGAGGAACTCGTAGGAATTCAACAGTTAGCTTCCCTTGAAGAATATCATGATTTGTTCTATTAGTATCAGTTGTCTCCTGTTAAAAATTGGCTTTTAGTAAAATTAGCACTAGAGAAATCTGATAGAAATCTTCAAGGGCAACTTTTGATTGTTTCACAGACCTCCCCATTGCAAAAAGCAATTTACCATCTGCATATATTATGTGTTTTGGCCCAAGGATGGAAGTGAAAGTCCAAAAACTACTTACCTTCTTAATGCATCTAGAGGAGTACTTCTTGGCAATTGTGAAGAAATAAGAACTAGTCTCCTGGCTTCAACTCTCAGCTTCTAGAAATGTAATCAAATAGGTAACCACTCACAAAGATGAAGAATTTAGAAGTGGTGACGCAAGGCATTATTGATGTCATAAAGAGGGAAGTGTTGGGCACGAAGCATCTCTTCTAGAAACTCTTCTCTATTTGTCTCATAGGCTTTTCTGAGAGGCTCTAATCTTATATTATACTGAAATAATTATTATGATGATAGTTACGAAATAGATTTGTCTGCTAGCAAGTTTTATCTGATATCCTTATTTCAACTTGAGTTTTTTTAGTGAGATTAGGAAACATATTTGATCTTTCAGTAGACTTTGAAAGTGCACTTAAAAAGTATTTCACAACATAATATAGACCAAAAATCATTCGTACTGGAAAGCAATCACATTTAGGAACAAGTTTAATAGAACTGCTGTTTATTTAATTAATTAATTATTTATTTATTTATTTCTCAAAACCTAAATTGATAGAAAGAAATTCTTGATAGACACATCTTACTGCTAATTTTGTTCCTTTTAAGAGTTTAATTGGATCAAGGTAGAAGATTTAGTGTTTTGTTGATTGCAATAAATATTGGGGGCTTAAATTCAGGGTTTTTTTTTTTTTTTTAAACTTTTTAGCCTAATTGGTACAATGGAACTAGTTAAGGTCAAAATAGCATGTATGATTTATTTGTAACTCAAAGGTAACATGATGACTAACTATGTGATGACAAATGAAGCATAACATCACTTAATAGTATTAAAAAATTATCTCAAATTTTAAAGACAAAGAATACAAGATACTTTACTAGAAGACTTAACTAAAGGCTGAAAAAAACATTACTTAAGGAATTAATTATAACTAGCCACTCAGCTGAAAATCATAACTCAGACTTTCCAAAATCTCCAGAAAACATCAATTAGCATTAAAGTTGCATGTGGGCTTAAAACATGGAAATCCACTTGCAAATGCTTTTATGTTCAAAGGCCACTTCAAAGTCATCTTTGAACTGATTCAATAACTTGTGAAACTTTAAATATTCAAATCAGTGGTCATGAACAAATCTGACCTTAAAACAATTAAACAATACAAATGATCAATTAACCCATTTTTCATAGACTTCTAACCTATTGAAACCTTGAAATGGTCAGTAACCTAAGAAAACTTATCACAAATCAAGGTCGTAACTTCAAACCACTGAACTCAGCCTTAAAAAGGCAAAACTAAGCTTTAAAAACCAAAATTTGGTATTCAAATGCTATCTGGAGAAGGAAGAATGAGTTTCTCTCTTTCTTTCTGATTTTAGAGTAGTTTGGCTTTATTTTAAACACTTGGGATTTGAATCAGATAGTAAGGATGGATAAACTTTAGACACTTGGCAATGTGTTGTACAAGCATATCTTATTTATCAGATTTAAGTGATGAATCATCAATCAAAATGGGTTGGCAGCTAGCACTTAATGACTGCTTATAGCATGAGGTGTTAAAATTGTATCAATCTTGCAAAATCCTGTAATGTTTCTGAACCTATCCCATAAATTTCAGTATTTTCAAGTAATCACTTCAATGATTGGTAATTTATAACTTTAGCACATGAATGATCTGCAATTCATAAAGTAGTTCCTCAAAGTTTTGCAATTCATAAATTAGCACCTCAAAATTTTCATAATTATAAATCTATAATGTCGGATTTTTAGTTGCCACCCTCTACTTGTTTTCCTATTTCTAAGCCTTACATCATAAAGAAAAGAAAGTTTTACTTTACTCCTTTTTTTTTTTTTTTTTTTGGTTTAAACCCAAAAAAAATGGACATAAAAGAAAATTTAAGGCTGTTAGATGTTGGAGCCACTTGCCTTTTATTTGTGAGTGAAGGTTTGTTTCAACATGAAAGAAAAAACAATTGCCAAATTTCATTCTTTTCTTCATTATGTGGAACCTTTAATAGTTCTTGCTGTTTTTATTGGTTGGCTAAGTAACTGAAATGCTAATTGTTTCATGTAGGTTCTCTTGAGTTATGGAACATATACAAATTTGGAGCTTCTTGAACACTATGGGTTTCTCTTAGAGGATAATCCAAATGAGAAAGTTTTTATTCCATTGGAGCTTGACATACATTGCTTTAGTTCTTGGCCAAAAGATTCACTGTACATCCATCAAAATGGGAGACCATCTTTTGCTTTGACGTCTGCTCTGCGTTTGTGGGCAACTCCACCATATCAGCGGAAGTCCATAGGACACCTAGCTTATTCAGGATCTCAGCTCTCACAGGGCAATGAAATATCTGTCATGAAATGGATAGCTAAGAAATGCCATGCTATATTGAAAGATATGCCAACATCAATTGAAGAAGACAAGTCGTTGCTCTCTTTCATTGAGAAAATGGAGGACTTTGATAACCTGTGGGAGTGGGGAAAGGCTGCTTCTGCATTTGGAGGGGAGTTTTGCAAGTTTTTGAAAGCATCAGGTCTGAAAAGTGATGATGAGTTAATACCGTCTGGGAGGACTAAAATGTTGATAGATAGGTGGAAATTAGCAGTCCAATGGAGGCGTATTTATAAGAAAGTTCTTGTTGATTGTATTTCACATTGTACTGACATCATCAATTCTCTATCTGGTTAGAATGGATCTCAGCCAAAATCTTTCATATCAACATGAATATTTCATTTATTCCTCCCCATACACAGGACACAGTAGTCTCCAAATCCTCCATTCTAATTACTGAATAGGTTTTTATTGGAAGGGGCAGGAGGGGGTGACCGACCAAAGATCTTCTAAAACTTGGACCAGGCCCAAACGAAGTTGGTCTTATGTTGGCCCTACGAATGGAGGGATTGATCCACAGTAAAAAATTTTGAACTGACCTTGACTGGAGAGCTGGCCTTGTGGTCTTCATTCTAGCACAAGGATCACCCACCTGATTCATGCTCGCTCTTAGGTATGGATTGTTGAACTTTGGATGTAAATCCTTACCTCTAAGCAAGTACAGAAAACCACAAAGAATGTACTAATCCAAAAAAAAAAAAAAGAAGAAGAAGAAGAAGATAGGAATCCAAGTGGTTAACATCAAATCTCTACAGAAAGAGAATGTTATTACCAAAACTCTATATCATTTCCTTTCAACCTCACATTTTTCGGGAAACCAAGTATAAATTAATTTTGATTTGACGTGTAAACAAACACTCGAAATACCCTAAAAAATGCAGATACCAACTTTAGCAAAACTCTGAATCCTTGATAACCCTTTGTTTAAAAAAAGATGAGAATGTGAATCTTACAAAAGATGGCAAATTCGAGTATCAATCAGGAACACTCTAACAATTATAGTCACAATGACTTTAAACCACTTCCTCTCCATGAGCATTTGTAGCATTTTATGTTAACAAAAAATCAGAACTAGTTATTGATTATTAATTATAAACCTCTTAATCTTTTCCTTGCAGATAACAAACTTTCTCCCAAACAAGAAAACCCTTTTTACAAGTTTGTCCCAAGCAAAATTGTTCTCAAAATTTGATCTCCAAGCAAAATTTTTATAGTTTAAATATCCATCCTTCAGAGATACAAAATAACCTTCTATATCCCGCAATACAATTCAGTGGATACTTATAGCCTTTAAATTGAATATAGCTGTCACTTCCCAAAAACAATGACAAATTTCTGCTCCTATTCTTGTCGATACCCTGATCTACATTGATGACATTCTATTTGATTCATTAATTTATTTTGTGTGGATATATATCCAAATCTCAATTTGTGCAGTACTAGTTAGGAAGGAAACCCATTGATAAAAGGAAGGAAACCAAGTGATAAAAGCATACCACTTAAAGTCTGACTGATAGCAATTGATGCATTTTAAGCCAATCGGTAAATAAAGTTGAGACTTTAATACTGGCATTTTGCCACAAAAAAAATAATAATAAGTTAACCAAAAAAAAAAAAGACCTTAACGAGGCCTCCAAAAGCAATTCACTCATTCACTAGGATATAATTAAAAGCTATAAATCTGAATTTCATTCCAAATTGCTGACTAAAAGTTTCAAATCACCTCAAGATTCATTATTATGGATATAAGTATGTTTATGAACAAAGACATGCCTTTAGAATAAAATGAATCTAACCAGCTACGACATTTCCCGGAACCTAGCAAGTGCTTTCTTGTGAATGACAGTTTTGTAACTATCGCCGGCTTGCACCTCAAGGCTACGGTCCAACTTCTTCACCTGACTTCCGAGTCCTGCTCTACTATCCACGGCCTGTGCTTGAACTGGTTCTATCATTCCACTTCCATCCTTCCCCAATCCCTATTTTATCCAAATATCAAATGCACAAAAACAACAAAACACAATCCCCAAGTTTAAAATTGTTACAAAGTTTCTGCTTCATTCAAAGATGAAAGCAAAATGGCAACTCATGCACCAATTAATTTCAAACTCTCAAATTTACCTACGATTAGGAAAGAGTTAAGGAGATACATTCTGAAGAGCAAAGAATACAAAGTACTTCTACTATTATCAAAGAGCACCGATGCTAAAAATATTTAAAGTGTTATAAAGGAAGATGCTGTTACTAACACAACGTTAGAAAAAGAAGATGAATTGAGAGTGAATTACAGTCTCTTTGTATGCTTATCATCTTTCACCTAACAATAGAATGCAAAGGTTTGAATCAATGTTGTTCGGACTTGGGCAAGTGTAGATAGGGGTATGTATCTAACACAGGCTTGCACAACTGTTTTCAAATATGTCTTGTAGGAAGTTTTTCCATATATTTGGACTGTCAGAAAGGCATATGGATATCATCTAATATGTCCTGGAAATGAATACTTAACGAAAAATTGAGAGTCAAGGCAATAAAGGTTTGAGCAACACCACATAACTGGGGCATGAGAAAGTTGGAATTATGCAGTTTTTTAGACACACACACACACACACAGAAAGGAAGGACAGAAACCAGCTACAAGGGAAGACAAGAAGCAATTGAATAGCAATTGAAATAAAAATTAAACAGCTAAAAAGTGCAGGAAAGAAATGATACCAATCCTTCATGCCAACCCATACTGCGGAGCATTCGGTTGCCCACATTGTTCTCATCAATAGCTTTCTCTGCTGTAATCACCTCAAAGCTCTGAACATCATCTGACACAACCCCACGTCCACCACCAACCCCAGGTGGGAAAGGCATTGGATCTGAGGAGAATTTTTTGAATGCCAATTCTCGATCTTGAAAGTACACAAATGAAGAATTTCTCATAAATTAATAGAAAATTTTAAAGATACAAGAACAAACCTACAAGTTATACAACCAGTATTTAAAAGAAATCAGAGGGCTACTTTTGCAGATAAATCTGGCAGTATCAAACATAATGATTGAAAAAATATAAATAAATAACATTCAATAGTGTTAAATAAGCTTACTTGAATTCCATAACTCATGGTCAGGCTGACCATCTCCAGTGGAAGATGATGAACCATACAAGTTTCTCCTCTCAGCCGCACGGTCCCTATATGCAGTTTGAGACTGCTCCTTGTTAGTAATAGAAGACACTGGTGTTTCAGAAAACCTTCTTTTACCACTCCCAGTTACAGTCGAAGGTGTATAAGAACCCAATGCAGATGCATCCGTCCTAAAGGGAGTCATAACTGTGGGTATATCTGAATTTGTTGATGAAAATGAATCATCAGCACTTCCAACAGCTGAAGAGGTGGAAACTCCAGCAGATGATCCAGAGTATGGAGTATCAGACTTCACCAGGCCCCTCGCAGAGCCTCTTATTACTCCCATTAAAGTCCCCCCTGAGCTGTTGCTTACAGGCCTTGGCTTGACCAAAGACTCCGAACCCCCAGTCAATACAGCTTGGACAGTTGTATTGACTCCTGAACTTGATGTATTACTCTCCTTCAGGCCTATCATATCAAATTTAACCTTGCTCTTTGCATGTTGTCCAGCCGACAGAGGTCTATCCTCAGATGAAGCAGACAGGTGATTGTCATCAAGAGCCAAACGGGTTGCCTGCCCCTCATGACTCCTCTGTTTCCACATTGTCAATACATTATTCATTTTCTTCTTATTAGCCAGTATACTGCTTTTCGAAGCAAGTTTTATCTCTTTTGATTTCTCCTTCTCTTTCTTCTCTGCAGCTAGTGCTGCTGTTGCAGCAGCTTGAACCACATCTGGTAATGAGGCTGCCTTCTCAACTGATGTGACAGTAGCAGCTGGTGCAGATATTACTACTTTCCGATTACTGGAACCATCAGCTCCTTTGGAAGCCTCAGATTGTTTAAGAGGTGTTTTGTTGTCATTCTGATCACTGCAAGGGATGTACTGCTGAGATTGGTTATCATATGAATACCAAATCCCACTGTTACCATCATAATAAAGACCTGCATGTTGGAACAACCAAAAGCAAATTAAGTCTAAAATTGCAACTCTAGAACATTATAATATATTGAACTCCAAAAACAAAGAACCTAAGTCAGAAAAATTGCAATTACGTTTGCATTGACATCGAAATATTTCAGTCTTTTTTTTCCCCATACAAGAATAAAAGCGTATTTTGTACCAGTAGTGAATATTTCTTTGCATATCAATAGCTTGGTTAAATTAATGCTCTTCGGAAGCATAATTAGTCCAAGTGTTTTCAGCATCTATTAGGTCATAGTCATTTCTATTAGGTCATAGTCCAATCATATTTATTAGTAACTTCTGTCATTGTTTGCAGCACTTGCAACCGCCACAAAGTATCATGTTTTATAGTTACATTCAATGCTCGACCCTACCTCTACTACTGACCTTCTTGTAAAATAAAGCTACATATTTTCTAACTCATTTCTCCTTAAATCTCACCCAAAATGAATTCCAAACTCTTAGGTAACTGCTCACATAAATATGTAGCACCCTCCACCACATCTTCCAGTCACTCTCTTGTGAACACATACCAGTTAAATCAAAACCATAATTCACTCCAAAATCCTAGTCCTACTTTCTAACAAATATATAAATCTTAAAACATTTCCCAACTTAACCAACAAGCCACAAAGGCAAATTCATCAGCTACATAACTATTACAACATGCATATAGCTCACTTTTGATCATAATTTGCTATGCACGAGTATATGCATGCACATGAGGGTGTCTGTGAGAGAGACAGATCATGAGAACAGATAATTTTGCCCACCAATTAGACCCGGTGACACGACACGAACAAGATATGAAAATAGAACAAGATAGTGACATGGCTTAAAATTTTAATAATAACTACATATAAATTTAACAAAATCAAAAAATGTATTTCATGTTTTCATGTTGATACGAATTGTGACACAATTTTTGTGTAAAATATGGTTCAAATACACGAATTTCAGTATTTTATACAACATAAATACACAAATCACCAAGCTACCACCAATAACAACTTGAGCCAGGGACAAGCACCATGAAAATTTTTTGTGCAAGAAAGCATTTGCAAGCAATAGATGGACCCCCAATTAACGCAACTCCTACTGAAATAACATTTTTCATTCTGCTATTAAGAAATTTTTTAAGTTCATTAGGAATTAATTATGCCAAAATTACTAGATAATTTTTTAAAAATATATAAAAAAATCACTATCCTAATATTTTGATATCTCATGTTCGTAAAAAAAATACGATATCAGAAAGCATAAAGAAAATTCAAAACTAAACCTGTATTTCCATCATAGTAAAACCCAGATGCAGCATCAAAATAGTAACCAGAGGCTTCATCCCATACAAATCCAGAATGCAAAGCCGAACCATCTTGTTGAACTGCAACTGAACCAACGGATTGCTCCTGCCAGCTAGTAGACTGTTTGTCATCTGGATTATATTCCTTTGGTGTCCATCCAACAGCATCATACTAGGAGTATAAATGAAAATACTAAGTCCATGAAGCATTTGGAACTAAGATAGCAACTAGGATGCAGGAAATAAGCAATAGCTTTGTGTACCAGGTAATTACATAAAAATTACAAAAGTTAAAAAAAAAAAGAAGGAAAAGAGGACCTGCATGGAATCATCACTTGGCACATCATATATCATATATAACTTGAAAAGAAAAGAAAAAAGAAATGTGCACATAATTGAAGAAACTAATTAGAAAAATCTCAGGGAATTGGCTTTCTGTCTGCAAGGACTTATAGTAGCTTCTGTTTTAGCCATTCAACTTCATTAGCTAAATGGTACAAAACTCTATCAAAAGACAATACCAAAATAAGTAAAACTAAAAGAAGGCACCACGTCTGATGATGGCAACATAAATCAAACTATGAGAAAGTAATTAACATTGCAATGGAACAAATCCATGGAACCCCACTCAGATTATGTCCCAAAAGCATTCAACTAGAAACTCCAGTGAGTTTCCATGCCAAACTTTTGCAATCTTGCTAAATTGTAACACCATGAAAGTGCATCAGAATAAACCAACCATATCAAAAACATGGATTGTAATATATTAAAATACACAACTGATCAACCAGTCATGTTTCAATGGCCTTACCACAGTTTCATGCTTTGCATTAAAATAATAACAAATAGCCCTTTTCACCATGGTGGCCCAAATATTCATGATTCTTAATCTTTCTTTTCCTTTTGATTCTATACCTCTAAAAAGAAGGGGAAAAATGTTCACAAAATGATGAAAAATGATAATACAAACTTGGTTTAGTTTATCTTAGTGATAAAGAAGATGAGATACTACATAGGAGATCATATTCTCCAAAGAGTAGGGTACTATAAGGGTTCTTAACCCATGGAACTCATTATTATTGCTTCTTTTAAGCTTCTAGACCACACCAAATGGTAGAAATATGCCACAAAGGAAAAGCATACCCAGCCTAGAGGTTGACCCAGCAAGTGAGGTCCAAGTGTAACCTTTCTTCCCTTAAAAATAATACTTATGAGTCTTGAAGATATTGGCATACAAAGGACTTCCGTGTTTTCATTGACACCTTATGATGGCACAATATTCTACGTTTTACAAATAATTAGCTTCTTCCTTTTTCTCCTTATTTTCTTTGTACTTCTCACTTCTTTTATGGCTTTTATCAGATATGGAAACTTCTTTCTCTTCTTCAGCTCCACATACTCGTTTAGATCTTTCTTTTTTTCCTTTTTTTTTTATTTCTGGGTTCTTATCACCTACGTTCTTGTTTCTAACTGATTCAATATCTTCCTTCTTTCTGTAGTTCAACACACCAAACTACTTCACAGTATCCCAAACATCATGATCAATGTCTCCTAGTTCTTTTTTTTCTTTCTTTCACGGTAACTCTCCTTCACATCTAAGATTAATAGATCTACAATAACATATAGTTGATACTTTGATAGTGGACATATTCCTTTTAGCTTCTTTTATTTTCTCTTAAGACATTAAAGATCGATGAAATAGAACACACCAAGCACTATAGCTTTTGTATATCAATGAATAATACCACAATTAGAAATCTTGATAGTGTATATGATCCTGTCTCAATAGTCAGAATTTTATAGTTGTATAACTAGCACAAAAGCATGAACAAACATATAAAACCTTCATTTGGTTCTGCAAAATTCACAAATCTATGTCACAACAGCTGACAGCCATAAATTCCTCTGTATACGTGGTCAAGTGTCAACTATAATGTACACAACTGTTCATAGGTCACCAACTTGACCATTCAACCAAGCATTTAAGCTGCAATAAAGATCCCCAAAAGTTCAAGCATAATATCTCATTTATACAGATTTTACCTTCCTGCATGCCATAGAGAGGACAACTGATATTCTCTAATGCATGATGACCTACCTGGCCTAGGACATTTGAGTAACCTGTGCACTGTATGGTGAGCTAGGCTAGAACAAACTATAGTTTGCAAAGTAGTTGTAGGAAAAAGAAAACAAAAAAGATAAGTTGGGTGAATTCCAGAAGGATTCAATTGTGTAACAGTTGCTGGCAGCAGGCAGACAGATGCAGGAGTCATCTAAGAGCAATAATAACCCGTTTGCAAAAGAAAATATGGTAAAATGAAGAGGATAACCTAAAAAAAAAAAAAAAAGCATGCCTAATTGAACATTTCTTTATTTATTTATTTTTTTCATTAACTGTACTTCTCAATGTTTGAGTATTCAACAACAAACTTGGGACCATAACAAAATCGTGCACAGAAAAAGGAAACTTAGCATGTTTTGTTGGATAAAATTGGATCATTATTATCAGAGTTATTTATCTTAACCTCACAATACACAATATACACACATATAGCCACTGTGCCTTAAAGGCGAATGCTTTTTTGCGCCTTGCACCTCAGGCAATACTAGTGTTCTAGTGCCATGAGTGTGCCTTGCGCCCTTGACAACAGTGGATCCAGATTTGAATAGGGTCTTTTACATATGTAGACTTAAGACTGAATTCCAATCAATTAAAACCATCTCACAGTCATATTAACTTAACTACCAACAAGATAAGTCCGGATAGACCACAACCAAAACCCATTTCAGGAACAATAAGTTACAAAATTACCCAGCCTAACATTCGAACTAAATCTCCTCTGATTTTCCAGTTAATAATCTTCATCTGTTAGTAGTAAATATAACTCACCTTTTAATCTTTTTAGCTTTTCAACCAAAAAGATATGGAAGGAAGGCCATGGTAATTTAGAGGTAAAAAAAGGAGATTCAAGTAAATAGAAAATCATTACTTACTTGCTGGACTCTTTCTCATGCTCTTGGTCTACTTTGCTCAAATCAGATGAATAAACCAATTTTGTCAAAAGGACTCTTTTATACAATACATTTTGAAAAGGGCCAAGAAACCATGTAATGCAGCATACTGAAAATATAACACGACATTAAAATGCAGTTTCTGAACGCATCATCTAAAATAGAGCTTTTTCAGATCAGCAGGTGAGCAAATGCTACTGCATTAACTTAAATCATAGTTTCCAAAACAGCAAAACTATGTTTAACATTTATGGCACCTAATATCATTTTCTCAACAGTAAAATATCTAAGCTGACATCATCATTAAAACTAAATATATCTTCAAATACCTGTTGTGAAAACGCTGCTGCCTCAATTGCAGCAGCTGCAAGGCTGCTTGACTGTGAAGGTCCCAATGTCCCTGATCCTGGCCCAAGAATGCTCTTTGCATATGCAACCCTTAATATTTGTCCATTCTTCTCAAGGGTTGTTCCATTTGTAGCTTCAAGAGCTTTTGTAGCATCACCCACCTACATGACATCAAACATACTCAGTTATGGCTTATATGTTAAAATAATTTTGCCAACCAAGCACACTACATTTTTTTTTTGCACTTCTACTGAACATTAATTCTAATGATACCCAAAAATTCCTATAGACAAAATAATAAAAGCAGAAAAATATAAGTTAGAGAATAACATAGCTTTCACAGTCTGTATGGGAGCAGAGTACTAAAAGCATCATATTGCACTAATAGCACAATATGAGGTCAGTAATATGAGTCTGATTATGCTGTTGTGCTCTATTTAAGACCTTATCTTAAGTTAGAGGTAGCGTTAATGAAACAATGGACGAAAAGATCAGTTGAAGCAAGTTACAGCTGCAGATATTTTCTCTTCATTGCCGACAGAGAAGCTGCTCTGTTCACTTGTGCAAGAAGACAGAGAGTTTGTGGCATTCTTTATATTCCACTGGAAGGAGAAGTAAAATAATATTTGAAAAAATACCACTATTTTTTTCACTTAAATAGAATAGTCTCTTCTATTATTTATGATATTTATAGTGAACTAAAATAAATGTACAAAAACCCAAATTTTAATTACTAGCTGCAAAAAAGAAAGAGCTGTTCTAATAAATGTAGCAACGTTTATACCCATGTGCACAAGAGAGATCACATATATTAAATTTTAGCAACAAAGTTGATATTTATTTGCACTAGAGAGGCACACTGCACCCAAAAAAAAAAAAAAAATGGGAATAGAATCCTCGAACTTCCTTTTTGACACCTGCTCTAAGTGTCTTCTAACAAGATCAAATAATTATCAGAATCAATGGCATATAATCATATTAATATTAATTATCAGAATCATTCATAATTACAGGCTTTATACTTCTATGTTAAATATCAAGAGGGTGGCTCAATTGCCATAAAGAAGTAAGACACACCGAATGGAAATGTACAAAAGCAAATCCCCTTGAAACATGGGTGAACTTGTCTCTAACAAGGCGAAGATCCTGCAGATTAAATCCATAAGATTTTGTAGATGCTAGAAAAAAGAGTTTTCATAAGAGAGAATGACGATAAAATGTCTACCTTAATTGGAGCATGTTTAGAAAACTCATATCGAAGCATTTCCTCATCAGCATTTTCATCCAACCCTCGCACAACCAATACATGAGTAGGACCTACTTACATACCAACTTAATAAGTTGTGGTAATAACAGAAACATGACACAAGCCTGCTCAAAATATCAGCCAATACCAACCTGACTCAGATCCTTTCTTTCCTAACGTGGTTGAATTTGATAAAGATATGTCAGCTGCTGGAGAATCATCAGTACGTGGCTCGTTACACTGCATAGAAAGTCAAGAGAAAGGACACGTCAATGACTCAGTTGGCAAATTTTTAAACAATCATTCACAAAATGGCAGATTTACAATAAATCTAATGCAACACCCAGTATAAGAAATAGATATATGATAATAGGATTCAGCAGTCAAACTTGGCTATATAAATCATATCAGGTTTTCAACGTTTAATATAAAGTGCATTGCAACTTTTGAGGTCCGCTAACCATGTACGTCCCTAGCCTAGCTCCTAGCATCACTTTCTGGTATGCCTTCATCCAATGGCACATGAAGCTAACTAACCATAATTACCTATTTATGGACCTAGATATGGATGGCAGGCATGTGATCTAAAGATGTATAACTCACACCACTTTAAACGGTTGATTTTTATAACAATAATATTAGAAAGAGTGGAAAGGAAAAACCGACCTGAAAGCATGACGTTCGCCGTGCAAAATTGACACATCCACAAATTGTGCACATCCAATCAGAAGGTACTGCAATGCTCTTATGATTTGAATGACCAGATTTAACTGCATTATCATGACCAAAAGGTCCACCAGTGCCCCCAGTTGGCTTACTACTGTAACGGAACATTGGCAATAGTTTGTATCCAAAACATTGTAGGAAAACCAAATATCATACATATAATAGAGAACTTCCTTTTTTTCCTTATCATTAGAAATTATGATAAAAACAGAATTAGAAGGTAAGAATGCTTCATTAAATTTAAGATATACCAAGTTCAACTATATTAATTCCTCAAGTTACAGATATTAAAATCAATCAATAAGAATTGAGCAACAGAAGTGATCCAGGTTTAAAAAGGCATCTAAAATACATTTGAAGGTTTACCAACAACAACAACAACAAAAAACTAAGTCTTATATCGCATAACTCCGGAGTTAGCTGTATGAAAGGCCAAAAATAGGAATCATGTTATGTCGTAGTTTTGAATCATTCTAAGGTTTATTAAGTGGAAAAATATTAGTAATTTCAGATTTCGATTGCATGAAATCTCAAAACATATGAATGAATAAAAAATAACTTTGAAGCAGCTCTTTTTCTCTCAAATCAAAATTAATCAAAATTCTATTTCATTAAAACCTTGTAAACTCGCTTTCTACTATCAAACCAACAAAAGGAATAGAAAAAAGAAAATATGAAGTTTTCCCTAAAACCTAGCATTACAAAGCAACATAAAAAGATTAATAAAGACCATGCCACAAGAACAACTCCATCATAATTGTAACAAGAAAATTTACCTGTACTCAAAGAAAAGCTTCCTACCATCAACAACAAGACCATCATCACCAATCCTATCCATCATTGTGCGTGCTGCCCCCTGTTCCAGAAGAAATTTCCCTCATGACATTCAACAAAACAGAAGAGAAAGTACTGACTAGTTACACCGAATAAGTACCACAGAAGGAAAATCGATAAAAGCAAATCCTCGAGAAATGCCAGAATTTCTCTCTTTGATCACACGGACATGGCGAAGTGGCCCCCATTCAGCCTGATGGCCACATAAAAATGGAGATATGTCACTTAAGTTATATCTAGTGACATAATAATATTCAACACAAAAGCAAAGAACAACATATTACAAGAATCTGGTATAGATCTTCTTCTGTTGTTTTCTGTGAGAGACCCTTTACAACAACAGTTGCAGATGGTGCCTGCAATAAAAGCAAAATATTTACTCAAATTCACAGCTTAGAACAAATGCAGTAGCAGAAGTACAGGGAACATAGAAAACGGAGCGCACCACAGAGTAACGCTCACGCTGATATTTCTCTTCACGGTCCCTTCTCTTCTCGGTTTTCTCATTTCGATCATCATCATAGCTGTCATCTCGATGGCTTCGCCCATGGTTTCGACCTCGAGGTGACCTGGATCTAGGACGATCGTCATTTCCATGGGATCGTGATCGAGACCTCTCATGCCTTTTATGTGGACTCTGATCTCTCTCTCTACTCAAGCGATCTCGATCACGTGATTCACGCCTCCTCCAATTGCCATCTCTCCAACTGCCTCTTTCATAATCGGAATCGTAACTATGTCTACCATATTCATAATCCCTCTCATGGCTATTTCCCCTGCTCTGATGGGACATGCGGGGTCTATTGTCATAATCATCATATGAGTAGTCATCTCGTTCTCGTCCCCCATACCTAGAGGGCCTGTCAAATTCATGATCACGAAAGTTGTCAACACCACGATAGCCATCCCGAAATTTATCAAAATCTCGAAATGAATTAATTTCATGATCATGAAATGTATCCATGTCACTATATGAATCAACATAAGTCTTCTGGTGACGCCTAGAATCCCGATCATGGGGATATTCTTCCTCATAACTTCTCCTCCTTGATTGAGACCAGATACCAGCAGGTGCAGGAGGAAGGGGGTGGTTATCCCTCTCTAGAAAATCTCGGTGGTAGGAACTTCTTGGATAGACATCATCCCTTGAGTATCTTTCATCTAGAAATCTCCTCTCATCATATGAACCACTGACCCTGCCACAGTAAGAAAGAGAGTGGAAGAGACAAGACAAATTGTGATATAATGAAGCCAAATGTTGGTGTAAATAAGCACTTCAATAGCAAATGAAATCAGAAAGTTGGCATGACAGCATTAAAGCAAAAGGCTAACAATAAATAATTTTTGAACCATGTACCTGTGTTGTGAAGCACAAAAATATGAGTTTCAAAGTAAAATTTTACCCATGGAGACGATGATAAGCAGTGGCAAGCACTCACCGAAAATTGGGGTCATGAACAGCAGAAAACCCATCAAGAGCCTGTGGATTCAAGAGATAAGTTATGTCAATGTCAGGAAGAAATATGAATTAGGCAAATGGGAGAGTCCATATCCTGAGTGCCCCACGGCTTTGTTTCATATTTGTATAAGGGATGAGAGAATGATCCCATTCCCATATAGGTGATTATAAAGGAGGAAACCGCAATTACGCTGTTATTATCCCATCCTTGCTGAAGAGGGTAGCGACCAGGACCAGGATCCATTTTCTTTCGGTTGCGTTGTGGCGGAAATTTTGTCTATGTTCCTGTAATATAATCCACAAAGAAAAAAACAAGAAACAGAGACGGTTATGCGCATTTATGAACCAAGGAAGCAGCAGATTTCCCCACGACTTTGGCCTCCAAATCCCCTTTCCATCTTCCAGATTGATCGAGCTAAGAAATCAAACAACAAAATCTAAAACCCTAATCTTATTTACAAAGTCAAAGTCCACAATCCGTATTCCATTTGTTTACCTGCTTTGCCTGGGGTTGGGTTGAGTTGAAACTCCAATCAAATCAAAGCCAGCATCCGCTCCTCCCCTACGATTCCACAATCCGCTTTCCTTTCTATCACAAATCTAAATCTTTTCACAGATTTTAGGTATTATTTCCTATTATTTACTCCAGATTTTTGAGGGCTAAATCATAAACACCAACGTTGGGTGCCACAAAAAATAAAGAAAAGTAAATAAATTACGACTTCTCAAAACCCTAGAAACTTTTCAAATTACCTAAAAGCCCTCCTTCACCCCCCGCCCCCGAAAAAAATAATAAAAGAAATAGTTATGCTTCCAATTTTTTTTTAGTTTTTATTACAACTATTGTATATCCACCGGTCATCCCTGTTACGTGAATTTTTAAGTTTATGCCACTTTGGAATATATTTTATTTAATAGTACTTAGAGTATAATTAACTTAGAAACACAACCCGTACCAAATTTTGTATAAAATTTTGGAGGTATGACTCCGACTTTATCCATGGATTTTTTTAAATACAAATACTCTCTTTTCTGGATTCAATATTTCATTTAGGATTAAATTTTTATGAAATTCTTTAGATTTAATATCAAACATATTATTTTGAGATTTAAAATTGAACATTTTCATATTTTTTTTAGTGGCTAAAATATGAAAAAACCATTCAAATACTAAAAAATTTAACTAAACCCTTATATTATTTTTTAGTCTAAAGAAGCCCATTAATTTTTATTTTTCATAATTTAAGCCATTTTAAGATATTCGAACATAATAATGAGACAAAAAGTGTGCATATTGAACAAATTTTATATATGACAAGAAATATACACGTGTTAAAAAGGGAAATTTTTAAAAAATTGGTGATTTAACAAAAAATTTCACTAATTGGTATCATGACAAAATTAATTATTAAAAATGAAATAACAATAAATCCAATTAATAAAAATTTTATATATTTTATATTAAAATTAATAAAAATGATAAATTATTTGATAATATGATCAAAAATAATTAGTGAAAAAGGAAATATCAATATGTAAAATTATTATTTATTAATAGAAAGAAAATGTATATATTTATGTCGATATTAACAAAAAAAATTAACTATTTGATACAATGATAGAAAAAAATTTGGTAAAAGGAAATATCTATATGTAAAATTAATAAAAGAATCTATATTTATATGGAAATTACAAAAGTGATCAAAAATAATTATTAAAAAGAAAATGCCTATACGTAAAATTTAAAAAATTAAAATTACTTTTATGACTTTTAATGCACATATGTTATAAGATAATTATACATATTATTTGATCAAATGTATATATATTTTATTTACATGTACTAATTTTATTGATAGCCTTGAAAGTGATAATGAGGATTGATATAAGCATGTAAAGGAGATGCAAGATATAACTATTTAATATTTTAAGAAGTTGTTTAATACCCATAAACCTTTTAATTTTAACAATATTTTAGAGAAGGTAGATGTTCGAGTTACAGATGAAATGAACAACAACTTTCTTATAGTTCTATAACGGTATCAAACAAATGCACCTCACAAAAAAACTTGGACTCGATGATATTCCTACTTTATTTTTCCAAAAACTTTGGCATATAATTAGGTATGATGTCATTAGATTCCATTTATCTTTCTTGAATGGGGGGTTTATCAATAACGTGAATGATACAAACATTATGCTCATATCAAAAACTAAAATTTCAAAATCACTGATCGCCTATCGACCCATTAGCTTTTGTAATGTGGTTTACAAAATCTTGGCTAAAACATTGGCTAATAGGTTGAAACATATTCTTCATAATTGTATAAGTAATTTTCAAAATGCTTTTGTACCATAAGGATTAATCATTGACAATGTCCCAATTGCTTATGAACTGTTACATATTTTAAATATAAAAAAACAAGGTTGTGAAGGATATGTTGTTCTAAAACATGATATTGGCAAAACATATGACAACGGGGAATAACGTTTTACTATAAGACACAATGAAAAAGCTCAGGTTTGAAATAAATGGATTATACTCATTATGAAATAGATTTCATCTGTGTCATATTCTGTTATTTTTAATGGTAATGTCACAACAGGTTCTATCCAAAGCAGAGGTTTAGATAGGCCAATCTTTTTTCACCATATTTGTTTTTATTGTACATAAAAGTTTTTCAACCGTTTTATCAAATTATCAAAAAGAATGTTGGATAAATGGGGTAAGGGCAAGTTAAAGTGATATTTGGATCAATCACTATTCACCATATTTATAAAAGCAAACTAGAGTCAATGCAAAAAAGTGAAGTACATGCTACAAATCTATAAGGAAAGTTCGAGACAACAAATCAATTTTGCAAATCTTCACTATTCTTTTAATAGCAGCATGAAAAAAAATAACAAAGAAAGGGTCCAATAGCTTTTTGGAATCCAAGCAGCATCAAATCTAGAAAAATATTTAGGCTATATAAAAATAGTGGAGAAAGACAAAAAGAAGGCTTTTTGGGAAATTACAAGTTAGATGAAAAACAAGATGCAGCATTGGAGTAAAATCTTTTGTCTGCGAGAGGAAAGAAAGTGTTCATCAAATAGGTGTTGTGAGCAATCCCATAATATACAATGAATTGTTTCCATTTTCGTAGAAAATTGTGCTATGATATTAAGAGACTAATAAGCAATTTAGCAATTTTTAATGGAGATTGAAACTGGAAAAGAGAAGAATACATTCACTACAAGAAAATTAAATATTACCGACAGAAATTTTCATCAATAATACTTAATTTTCTATCGATAATAACAATTCCTATGGATTTACTGATGAAAAAATTCTATCAGAATAGGCATAGTCAATAATACAATTCCATTAATATTATAAAATTTTATCGATAATTTCTAATAGAATATTTCATTGGTAAAATTATATTTCCTTGATATATTATTTTAATAATTTTTTAAAACTAATTGATAATTTTACAAAAAAATATATATGTTGATAATAGTTAAAATTTTGTCAGTAATAATTAATATTTTCATCGGTAATACCTATTTTTCAATCATATTTTGTTTATAATTTTTGTTATTTTATTATAATTTTTTAAATTTTATTTTAAAGTAATTACATGAATATTAAAATATACATAAATAGAATAAAAAAATACTTCATTTCATTTATAAAAGAATATAATAATATTTTTACAAATTTGTTTATAAATTATAATTAAATAAAAATATAAAAATGCATAAACGTTACAAATTCTATACAAATATTTGGTAATACATGCTTTACATAAATGGAATAATTTTTAGAGTTATAATTATTCAATGAATAAAAGTTATCTGAGGGATGAAAAATAACAATAAGTTTCAACACAATAGGAAATGGGAACAAAATGATAAAAGAATTGAATGATTAAATTGAAAAGCATGGAATATACGAAACTTCTTCTTAAAAAAGCATAATATTTGCCTTCTTTATGGCTTTAGCCTTATTTTATAAGAAAAATCTTATTAGGATTGGTTAAGGTCATACAAGGCTCTTCAAGTTACAAAAACAAATGCATTATCTCATAAATCTCATAACAACAAGAAAAGAAACTTACATGTCTCCTTTACGATAACCTATAGTAATGCATACATGGGTACCTTGAAAATAAAAACATATGTGAACCCATGTCAGGCGATAAAACACCAAAAAGGTTTTGATAATAGCAAAATGAAAATAAGAGCATATAATTGAAAGGTTATAAAAACTACATTTAATCCATAAAATACAATCCAAAAATAAGTGTAAAAAGGCTAAAATAGAGCTTAATGTTGAGTAGAATTTCTAAAAAAAAGAAATTAATATTGACTAAATTTATTTAGGAGAGGGGTAGAGGCATGGAATCCAGAAAACATTTCTTTCTTATAAACTTATTATATTAACAGCTTAAGTCAGATACAATTATGAAATCTCAACCATTCACAATGGACCAATCCATTTAAATCTCAAATGGATCCTTACCTTCAAAATATACAAGAAAAATAATTGTAGATGATATTAATCGCTTGAAAATTAATAGCAAACCATTTATTCAAACAAAAAAAAAAAAAAAAGAGGAGTAACCATCCTTAAACTAATTAAAAATATTTGCAAATTTGAAACAAAACAAAACAAAACCAAACCAAACCAATTTACTAGTCTAAGAATTATAAAATTAAACATGATTATTAAATATAATGAAAAAAACAAGAACCAAAGTGATGACAAACAATTTAAGAAAATTGAAACTTAAAACAAATAATGGTTAGGTGGTATTGAAATTCTCTTAAGAAGTGAAAATTTGATGTAGTAATATGGTTGGATCTTAATTCCCAGCACTCTCTTCTATAAAAACCCTAACAAAACAAGCATTCTACATACAAATGAGGAAAAAAGAAAATACTTATATTTATTAAATTATAAAGCATATACATTTATAATAATAATACAATTTACCAATCCAGTTTAACAAGCAATATATCAACATGTAAAAGCCTCTGCATATACTAAAACACTTATGATTAAAAAGCAATGGCAATTAGATAAATTAACCACATTAAAAATGTAAAACGTGTTCGTACAAGAAACATAGTTTTGAAAACTAGCCAAAACAATTAGAATGCTTCGGTTAAAGCATCCAAGTAAAGATACAAGCTCTTTAAGTTCATCAAATTTTCAAGCTCCTTTGGTGTTATCCCACATATGTTCTTATACTATAAAATACCTTATCATAAAAAATTGACATAGTAATTCTTGGGTAAGGGAATAATAAAAGCACACAATTCAAGTATCTTTATATGAAATATGCAACCAAAAATCAATGGAATGCTACCATCTTCAAGATAAATATGACATATCCAATAAAAACCAATGAATAGCGACAAAAGCACACAAAATTTATGCTCATAACTATTTTTATTTTTTTTTAGATTGATTATGAAAATTTCACCATGAGTTTAACTCAGGCATTTATCTAGAAAGTTATGTTTATTTAATTTTACATAATAAATGACACAAAGGAACATTAGTAAAAGTCAGAACTTGATTGCATGTTTCATTGCTCTCATTTAAAAAAAATGAAAATTCATGCTACAAAATTATAAGAAGAAGAGAGGTGAAGAAATTACTAGCAAGATTATCAATATCAAGAAGAGAATGAGGGGTAGAGACAGATGTGGAAATAGATTGGGAGTCGCAAGAAATTTGATTGTCATAAGGCATTAGGAATGAATGTGATGGAGATGATAATGAGGTAG